CATCAACTGGTCACTGGGGTTCCTCAGGGATCAGTTATTGGACCCATCCTCTTCTCCATATAGCCTACACTACATCACTGGGACCCATCATACAGGCACATGATTTCTCCTACATTTGCTATGCTGATGATACACAGCTCTACTTTGCTTTAATCTCACACTTTGATAATCTGTTATTTAGGTCGTTTTACATGGATCAAGGCTCTTCTTGAAGATGAATGGTTATTAAGCGTCTTACTTAAGGGAAGCTGAGAAGTCACTGGATGAGGCAAAGAATACCAGCAGTAATGGCAGATGATTTTCTCTACAATGGAGGTTTGGAGTCAGCACAGAATTCCCAACCTGATGCAAATTGGACTCCTAATGGTTCTGATTACTCAACTAACCCTCCTGAATTTTCAAATTCACACAGTGAAAATTGGCAGAGCCCTGAGTTGGAGGATCTAGATTACTATAACCCCATCGAGCCCCCACCACTGGACTGGAGGTCCGACTCTTCCAGCGAGGCCGGTGCAGTTGTAGAACTTGAAAGTTGTTCGGTGGGAGATTTTGAGGCTTCTGGATCTTTCAACACGGAGTTGAATGAAGACACAGTGTCTGCAGCAAGTGATTACGGAGCTCAGGACTCCAGCGAAGCTTCTGACAAAACCGAAGAGCTTTTGGCTCAAGAAATGTGTGAGAACAAGCATGAAATTCGTGTTTTTCAACAGCAGGACGAGCAGCAAGAAACAAAAGAGAATTATGTCGAGGACAGAGATAGAAAATTGAGGAATCAAGAAATGAAAAAAGAGAAAATTGAAGAAAAATGTGGGAAACATGATATTGACCACTTGCACATTCAAAGTCTCCTCACTCAGCTCCATCTTTTTCATCCATCACCAACTAATCCTGCCCACTGCACACCTGATGAATTAACCAAACAGGGCGCTCCGCTTAATTCGTATACTCCAGCGGAGGCCGCTGCTTCCTCCTTGCAAGACCTTGAGTTCAATGTCCAGTCAGCATGTGCAGATGCAGATAGAAACATCCCTGAGGCTTTGCTCTTTTCACATGAGTATCAGAAAGATCTACTACAGCTGCTAGAGCAGCCAGAGCCTGAAGAACCCAGAACTGCCCCACTGTTTGTTCACACACCCCTGGTGACCCCCGGACATCAGTCAGGGCTCAGA